GACTCCTTATTGCATGAAGTTTTCGGGAAAAATGAAACAAATTTTATACGCCTGATTCTTTTAGTTCTACTGACGATTTCTTTTCAAGCTTTTATCTTATCACGCAACGAGGTCGGAAAACGTCACCATTCCCAATGGGCGGAATACGAGCAGATTTCTTCTTAGTCATCTCATTCGAGAAAAAAAAGGAGGTAACATCGAATTGGGAGGATGTTCGGGAAATACTTTTGGGCTACATCTCTCGTGCTACCGTTTGCGGTATTCGGACAGAGACCATTTGAGGGCTGTCAAACTGCAGATGTTTGCTCTAATGTGAAGTGTTTTGATCCTGATGACCCTGAAGTCACTTGCGATGGAATTGTCATGCCGGACTTCGACTATCCCTGCAAATGTTGTCCTGTCACGTGCATCAAATACTTGAGTGAGTATGCAGAAATTGTGATTTTCGTCTTTTTAAATACAGTATTAAAGAATTATATTCATGTATTTTAGGCTCCCGAATTCTATCATTTTTCTGCGTTATAATGTGATGTGTTAAGAGCCCGATTTTCAGGCAATTTCGATATAAGTCCTGTCTCATGAATGAGTCATAGTAAATATCATGGAACATTTATAATGATCGATCGTATAAATGGTGATTGTAACTTAGCATGTGGGAGTTTGAAGCTTTTGTTAAAAAATAGGACGCTTGAACAATTCTAGATTTTGACAGAAATGCAGTCTTCGTGAACGCAGAAGTTTTTTTCTGAATTACCCATTATCCAAATTCAATTGAAAGTTCCTGCATGTGTTCATAGAACAGTTATATTTTTGTCAGAAAAAAATCCATGACACCTGTACAATGTACGTTTTAGTAACATAGAAATTGGAAAAAACATGTTCCGAGATTATACAACGTTAAAAAGGCGACAAGGTCTCCTTCCTCGCTTTACATAAGCAAGTGCCTGGTGCGGTGGCTTACTTCAAACGCCCGGGCCGAACTGCACATGTCTTCTCCCTCTGCTTTCAATTTGTCAAAAGTGTTCGTGATGTTTTCTTTTTAATAAATTTGAAAGCTGTTTTGGGGGGGAGAGGTTCTAAATGCAGACGGACTTCTCGTCTCTTTACAACGGTACTTGCCATCACTGTTTTCTGGTCTTGGCAAACTCACAAAAGTAACTCCTCTATACAGGACTGAATTTTTCCGCGAATATTTATTTTTGCGTCCTTTTCAATTGTTGATTGGGGATTTTTTATTTGAGATAAATTTGCTTCGATTTTCGTTTCAGTCAACAAAAATTGCATCCGTTTGCGTGACGTTTACGACCAAGAAGTCTCCACTTGTGGGCCCATGGGTGCCAGTGGTTATCGTCCCTACTGCGATGATTTGGGGGACTTTGAAGGGAAACAATGTGTTTCGGGTTCCATGTATGCCTATCAATAATTCGGTATTTCTGGTCAAATTATTTAAAGAGATTTTTCCTTCGTTTCATTCTCAATTTTAGTTGTTATTGTGTTGACAAGGACGGTCAACGCATCGACGGAGAAGCTTTGGAGTCGGAGGCTGGAGGGATGGATTGTAGTATGTTTCTTTAAAGATAGAATTGTAACATTTTCAAACGTTAGGTTTTAACCTCAAAATGATGTCGAACTGCAAAGAAAATCTGATCCATCAGGAGAAAAATCTTCAGGAACGATTCAAGTAATAAAGATCATTTTTTGTCTTATCCGATAGGAGAGTTTTGTGAGTTGAAAAAACATCCGTTTAGATACCCAACCTCATGATTTAGAATAATCCGAACCACTTTCGAGATGAATAACGAAACTTGAAGAAATTTTTGTAAAATTGCTTGGGATTTTTCTTTCTTTTTTTTCTTGTTAAAATCTTGAAGAGTAATTTGAAGTTTCAAGGGGAACCTTCGCATTCAGCACCACCATCACCCAAATTATTCAAAATTGGCCATATCTTCATGTAAAGGAGATCGTCAGAGAATATTTTTCAATTGAATTTATATATATTTGGTGCTATTGTGAGTATAGACTATCTCGTAAGAGTTGAAAGTGTGATAAATTTAGTTGCAGTTTGAAGTAAAGCATAGTTCAACGAAGTTAGGAATATGTAAGGAAAATTACCTTTTTCATTTGTATGATAACGGATGCACTGGACTGAAAAAATATTTTACATCGACCCGCAATTCACTGAAAATGATCCACAAGATGATTTATTTCAGTTCATATAATGTAGCCGCGTTACTTAATTTTTTGCGCTTGCTTATAGAATTCAAATACAAATTCAATTGAACACCTTTTGCTGCGTTGATGTTCCAAAACGGAATTTGTTTGTCTAACGATTCTTGCCGACGTTGAATTATAAGAATAAGTGCCTTGCAAATTAAAAATCTTACGTGCTCCCTATTTTAACGTTATTTTCTCAACAACCCGAGAGCCTAGGGACGGCTACAGCTTGAGGGCTGCACGAACTGCTTACCTTTAATTGACCCGTTGCAATGCTCTGAAGGAACCTGTTACTGCGTCGGGAATGCAACCCATCCATGGCCCGACAGCGTTCCCGTTTCCGAAGAGTTCTTCCATCTTCTTCCGTGCTGTGAGTTTTCCATTCCGTGTTCCTGAACTGCGCATCAAACTGGTATTACAGTACAGTACTGTACATTGGATCCCCGCGCAGCGAAACTCATCCGTTTAGCAAAAAAATCAAGTGGCGAACATGTCGAGAGGTTATTCTAGCAGCGATTCGACGGATGAAAAGAGAACATTTCAGCAGCGTTTCGTCATTCGGAAGAAAATTTTTCTTCTGAAGAAAGAGGGGAAGTGCGATAATCTTTGAATTAATTACTCACGACTGGATTTCTTACTAATAACAGAGATCGTTTCGCCTGGAGAATTTAATCACGAAAAAAAATTAAATCGTGTGTTTTTTTTATTAAATTTTTTTTTCTCCTCCAATTCCTGCCAATGTCGGTGATCGGCATTGTAAAATTTGTTTGCATTTTAGATGATTCGGAATTGCACAAGACTCTGCCAAGAGACAGGCCTTGCACGAAACGGTTAAAAGAATATCTGGAAACTTTGCAAGACCCCTCGTTAAACTACGACTCACACCTTTTACACGGTTTCACACGACCACTACCAGCAAAGGAGCGGCAAGTCTGCGTTAAACTATGCATGTCATGGACCTTAAAACAAACTCAACGGAATGTACTCAACAACGATTATTCTACTTCTATTTTTTTCGGTGTTCACAGGAAATTCTGTGTGGACCCAGAAGGGAACCAGATTGAAACTTTTATGGGGGATACAAGTACTCTGGCTGGCCAGATCATGAATTGTCGTGAGTTACTTTTCATTGATTCAAGCAGAAAATATTGAAAAATTATTTTTAGACCTTCCAATTACGAATTGGAGCAGAGGAAGAAAGAACTTATTTTTGCCCCCAGCAGTGAATTGTTGATTCTCAATTTATTTTTTTAATGAAAATTATTCCAAGAAATGCGGAGTTGGAAGAACTCTCTCAAAAACTTGTCTGAGCTTTGGAAAGATAATGTGGCGAAATTTGCACTGATGATATTTTTTTTTATTGCGCATATGCTGCTGTTCATTATGTCAATGCAACTAGAATTGTGATTGAATTGATTTTCATTCAACTCTTTTTGTTTCCTCCTGATATTGCCGTTTGGAGTATGTCAGCCTTCTTCCTTATTTAGTATTTTTTTATGTAGAAAAAAGCCTTAGACCTTTCATATTTTCTGTGCCACAATGGAATTATTTCAGACTTGCGTGCAATACTTTTTGGAATTAGGGTCTTTTGAAGAGCTACGGTCAAACCTCTCTGAGTGAAATTTCAAGGGACCAGCAAAATAAATTTGGCTTCGGGTGGTTTCAAGTTATAGAGGTTCAAGTTATGAAACCAAGCATATTTGTTGTGGAAAACAGAAGAATTGCAAGAAATTGTAAATGGTGATATTCTAGGCCTTGAATTGCTTTTTAACCCTTGTGCAGCTGAGTTGGGATATCTTTGCTAAATGTTGTCCCCATGAGCTTTCAAAATTGAAAAAAAATCCAAGTTTTTGAAGAAAGGCTTAAGTTCGGAAAAAGTCCAATATTTTTTTTTATAATCCTTCAAAAGATTTTGCATAAAAAATTTTCCACCCTGGGTTGCATTTTTTTCAAGGATTCTTAGCATTNGAGCAATTTGATGCTGAGTGTGGAAAATGTGCCAAAGTGTGCTGGTGATGGTCGTTTCCTCGCCGTTCAGACGCAATTTGATACGTACAGTACCTGGAATTTTGTTTGAGTTGCCTTACATGAGTTGGACGATTATTCTATTTTTATTTTTTTCGGGGTTCGCAGGAAATTCTGTGTGGACCCAGAAGGGAACCAGATTGAAACTTTTATGGGGGATACAAGCACTCTGGCCGGTCAGATCATGAATTGTCGTGAGTTATTTTTCATTGATTCAAGCACAAGATATTGAAAAATTATTTTTAGACCTGCCAATTACGAATTGTAGCAGAGGAAGAAAGAACTCATTTTTGCCCCCAGCAATGAATTGTTGATTCTCAATTGATTTATTTTTAATGAAAATTATTCCAAGAAATGCGGAGTTGGAAGAACTCTCACAAAAACTTGTCTGAGCTTTGGAAAGATAATGTGGCGAAATTTACAATGATGTTTTTTAAATATTGCGCATAAGCTGCCGATCCTTATGTCAATGCAACTGGAATTGTGATTGAATTGATTTTCATTCAACTCTTTTTGTTTCCTCCTGATATTGCCATTTGGAGTATGTCAGCCTTCTTTCTTATTTAGTATTTTTTTATGTAGAAAAAAGCCTTAGACCTTTCATATTTTCTGTGACACAATGGAATTATTTCAGACTTGCGTGCAATACTTTTTGGAATTAGGGTCTTTTGAAGAGACTATGGTCAAACCTCTCTGAGTGAAATTTCAAGGGACCAGCAAAATAAATTTGGCTTCGGGTGGTTCCAAGTTATAGAGGTTCAAGTTATGAAACCAAGCATATTTGTTGTGGAAAACAGAAGAATTGCAAGAAATTGTAAATGGTGATATTCTAGGCCTTGAATTGCTTCTTAACCCTTGTGCAGCTAAGTTGGGATATCTTTGCTAAATGTTGTCCCCATGAGCTTTCAAAATTGAAAAAAAATCCAAGTTTTTGAAGAAAGGCTTAAGTTCGGAAAAAGTCCAATATTTTTTTTTATAATCCTTCAAAAGATTTTGCATAAAAAATTTTCCACCCTGGGTTGCATTTTTTTCAAGGATTCTTAGCATTGGATTAATATTGAGGATTTCTTGAGGCAATGAGATTTTCTGCATCCGAATTTTTCCCAACTTAGGCCTTGGCAACCTGGGAGCATTTCAGTGACCTTTGGTCAAACTGAAATACCCCCCCCCTCAAAAAAATCCTGACTTTTCTGCAGAATGGCCAGGAACCCTCTTGCTGTCCAGGACAAGGGTTGAATGATTTGACAGTGTGCTGAACTTGGAGACAGGGGTCATTTTGCCCAATTTAGTTTTTCACTTTCTTCCAAAACACATCAAATTCCGTTTTTATTGCTTTTTTATCTCTTGTTTCAAGAACAAAATAACCAAAGGGCCTCCAAAAATTCGACTTACCAGCTTTGAGAGGAAAAGCATTCGAATTAGGGAGGTTTTCAATGCATTGCTTCTGTGGGAATCAGACTGGAACTTGAAAAAAAAAGGTTCTGAGGGAGATTTGAGTTATCCATCAGATTCAACTGTATAAATTCCCAAAATGGAAAATTATTGTTGCATAATATTATGGATCATTAAATTGATTGTATTCTGTGAACAGAATGCGCGAGATCCAGATTTTGGGCGTCGGTGGGACTCGGGGTCATGCCAACGTGTTGTCCGAATGGAAATTACATGCCTTGGCAGTGCAATGGACCGGTTTGCACCTGCGTGAATTTAATCACTGGCCAACCTTTCGGACCGATCGTGGAAGAGTCTTCGAAAAATGATCTTTGCTGCTACAACGAAGATCCTTGCGGAATAATTCCGGATTTCAACGAGTGTTCCTCGCCGCCGAATTTGGGATGCTGATTCGAGGAAGGAACAGCCAGATAATGACGATGAAACCAAAATATATATTTTTTCGAACTGTTTTAACGATCAAAGGCTTGTAAAAATTGAGGATTCACGTGAAACATGAAGTCAAAAGTTTGGAATGTGTTGATTTATTTTTCTGTATATGAAATGGTATCAAAATATAGATTTGTTTTGTAAACGAAAGAACGAGAGTTGGTTCAAAAGGGTCCTCAATATTTACTTGGTAAGAATTTTGTTATTTATTCAAGTTAGTGAGTCTGTCGAATCTTGTAAAAATTGAGGAATAACGTGAAACATAAAGCCAAAGGTTTCGTGGTGTTGATTACTTTCTTCTCTACATGAAATGGCGGTATAAAACAATAAATTTGTTGTGTGAACAAAAGAAAATGGGGGAGGTTCTCAAGCTTCGTCGATTTGACCTGGCAAGAATTTTATAATTTACCGTATTAAAGTTGTGAGTCTGTAGAATCTTGTAAAAAATGGAAGATTCAAGTGAAAATTCAAACCAAAAGTTTGGGACGTGTTTATTTACTTCTTTCTCTGCGTGAACTGGTATCGTATCATACAGTACATTCTTAGGCAAACGAAAGAACGACGGGAGGTTCAAAAGTGTCCTCGATGTATGTAACTTGGTAGGAATTTTGTGATTGATTCAAGTGAATATGTCAGGATTTTTTTCAAATGGAGGATTTACGTAAATAATTGAAGCCAAAAGTTTGGGACGTGTTGATTTATACTTCCCTCTCTGCAGGAACTATGGTATCGAACAATAAAATTTGTGTGCGAACGTAAAGTACGATAAAAAGTTCAGAAGTGCCGTTGACATGAATTGAAGGAATTGGTTGATTTATTCAATTTATTGAATCAGGATTATCCGAATTAATGCTATATCAAGAACAATGAGTCATTTGATTGCTGCTCCGACTTGGACAACATTTGGCCAATTGAGTGACCTTTATTTAAACAACTTTCGAATTTAACACATTACTCGGACAAAATTTGGCAAGATCGTATCATTTTTCTTATTGGAAATTGGCTGTATTATTGTCGCAGAAACATTTTAGAATTACGTCATTTGAAATATTTGTCGGTATTTTGTTGCTTGCAAACTCATGCAAACATCACGTGGCAGTTGACCGGTATTTATTTTGAGTTTTGAGGGTTACCATTCCACTTTCTGTCTTTTCTTAACCTGTGTGTGCAAAAATTGGCGTGTATGATTAAAAATTACTCTGTACAGGATTTTTTTTAACGTTTTAATCCATCATTATGTATGACTTTGAAAAGGTAAGTGCAAGACATACGAAATGTATGAATTAATAACCGACCCTCTCATGTTCTATTATATTGTTGAATAATCTCTTCAGTTTCCTTTTTTTCAAGAAAAACGTCTCACAACTCTCGTTTACAATTTAACGTCTACTGAAAATCCATGATTGAAAAGTAAAGTATCGTATAATCGTGGAGTTTTTAATTAGTTAGTGCTTATCATCATATATCTGCCTGTTTCTCAGTCAGTTCTTTCACTTCCCTTTCTATACATATGCACCCCGCTTATCAGTAAGTAAATACCTAAGCTTGACAGTTGGTGTATAGTTTACAGTATATATGTGCATGTTGGTGGTATTGATAAATTTTTATCTTGCAAAGTCTAGGAATCTGCTGGTCGCAGCCATCGCGGGCACAGAGGTGAGTGAAAACGGGGATCGACTCTTGGGAATAAGTTTCACCTCTTATTGTGCTTCTTGTTCGTTTTCGAGTTTCGCTTTGTTTTATTCTGGATATGTCTTTTCTGTGAAGTAAATGATGGCGAAATCTCCTTGATTCGATCAACCGGGCTGTGCAATTTTTTTTTTTTTTTTAATTTGGAAATTCGTTCTTATTCCGAAGTTGAAAAATATGGAAAATTTAAGATTGTTTGTGATGGAGCATTTTACTTCATGATCCAGAAGATATTTTCCGCATAATGTTGATGTTATCATTGTACTGCATCACTTCCCTGCAGATTTGTAGTTACAATCAGAGAAAATAAAATTGCCTGTTGAATTTTTAGATCCTGGTAAAAAAGTGAGGTACTTGGATTTTCCGTAAACCGTGATTTTTTTATTTTCCGAAAGAAGGTGGTCATTCTAAAGCACTCTATAAATTGTTTAAAAAATAAACGAGTAAATCGAATGCATGATTTCTTGTGCTTGGTGCTTTTTTAATCTTGGCTAACGCAAAATGATTTGTATTACTCGCCAAGTCGCCATTGAAAACATTTTAAGGACACATCATGATGTGAGGGTTTTGTGCTTGTTCCTTAATTTTTGAAGTGTGGAATTGCATCTTGAGTTTTATGTTCATATTTAGTTTCTTAACCTTGATATCTCGTGATAATCATTTCCTGGATTACTCCACATGTGATATAAACTGAACTTGAGCAAGTAAAAAAAAAAGCATGGACACGCCGGAAGGAAAGTGTTGGCGGTGCCTGAAATCAGCCAAGTTCTGGTGCACTTCCTGTCAATTTGCGCAGTATTGTTCTCAGACTTGCGCTAAAACGGACAGAGGTGATCATGAGGTGAGTCATCAAGATTCTCACGCATTAAGATGTTCTCTTTTGAAAATTAAGTTTTTGTATTCCTATTTTTATCTTTTTCATGATTATTTTTCTAATAATTGAAAAATTCTGGCCGATTGATACGAGTGACATTTTTTTGAACCAGCACTTTTGCATTCAGCATCACTTGGACAAAATTTGGTGAGATTATATATAACTGTTTCCATTAGAAAATGGCATTATTGTTACCAAAATAATACTTTTAAATTACATGATTCAAGAAATACAGTACTGTATGTCGCGAATTTTTCAGTCCTATTTTTAGAAATGACAGTTTGAGAACCCGAATTCTCGTCCTTGAGGACAAATCCCACTTTCCGTGAGAACCTCGGAA